GGGACAGTTAATGTTCAGCCCAAAGTCTAGAACCTCAAAGAAGAAACAGCCCTCCACCGAAGGGACAACGCAGCCAGGCTGGGTAAGACTGGCGCTTTCAACCTCTGCTGGGATGGGGGAGAGACAGTGCTCACCCCACCAGGGTTTAAAAAACAGAGAATATCCTCCTGGCTGCTCAGAGGCCCCCACCCCAGGTCTTCCACCGGAGGGGCACTGCCCAGCGCCCACCTGGCAGCCCCCCGCCCGCCCCTGGAGGTACACGCCCACTCACCTGTGCGACAGAGTGGGTTTCATGGAGCTCATGGAGTTGAGGGGGGGCTGCATGGGGAGTTTCCCAGGGGGGTCGCTCTGGCGGCTCTTCTGATGCCGAAGGAGCAGGAGACGGCCGAGCTCCTCACACCAGGAGGACAGCAGGGCTGCAAGGAAGGACAGGACGGTCAGGGCGCCCCGTGGCCACCTCCCCTGGCTACGCCCACTGTCACCTCGCCCTCCCAGACTGGCCGCGCCCTTACAGTGGGACTGACACCCCAAAGGAGGGCTGATGTCAACGGTCCTCACTCTGATGAGGACAGGCCAGAGCCGGCACAGTCGAGAGCATGGACACGATGGAGGGGACATCCGAGATGGTGCCAAGGAGAGGCCACTGGAGTGGGAGGGAGGGAGCGCAGCACAGACCCTGTGTCGGGCAAGCTTAGGAAGTGCTGGTCTCCCCCAGACTTCTCAGCGAAGCCTCCGGACACTCAGCTCAACATGGCCTCTCTTCGTGGGTAGGGTAGGAGGGACAAAAGTCACCCGGAAGCCAGAGCCTTTCTAGAGCCTCCTGATGATCCCAAGAGTGCCCACAGGCTTCTCTCTGAAAGTCTTCCCCACAAAAGTGCCCACGCCTTCCAGTGCAGACCCGCGGCTGGTCCCTGTGCTGTTGGGCACCCACGCTTAGGAGGACTAAGGATTTGCAGGGCAGAGGGCAGCCCGGGGGTGGGGTGGGGGCCTAAGCGAGAGTGGGCCGGGGGCACGGAAGGCAGAAGCCCAGGAGGACCCTCCACATCTGGGCTTTGAGCCCTTAAACACCAAGAGAAAAGCAGCTGAAGCTAACGGGGTGCCGGGGAATCACACTTCACTGTCCTAATGTGGCCACCAGGGGCCAAAAGCACCCTCCAGGTCAGTTTGTCTGGCCAGTCTGTCCAACGAGCTTGAAAGAGTTGGGAAGGCTGGCCTGCCACCACCTTGCTGTGTGGACCAGTGGAGCTCAGAGATCCTCTCTGGGCCTCCTTCAGTTTGCTTGCAGGGGAAGAGGAATGATGAGCCCTGCCCTGCCCCATGCTCTCCCCATGCTCCAGATAAGCAGACTGAGCTCAGGCGGGGGAAGTCATTCGCTCACAGTAACCACAGCTAGAACGGCGGACACACAGAAGGCGCCCCTGCCCCATCCCCACTGGTGAAGCCCAAGCCTGGACCAAAATGTGGCAGAGCAGATGAAACCCTTCAGAAGGCAAAGACCGAGTGGGCATGGGCTCCAACCCCACCAGCGAGGAAGCCCTCCGGCCTCGTCTGAACCTCCCCCCTTTACCACATTCGGCTGGCACTGGGGAAGATGCCTTGCCCCACAAAGCCCTGTGGTGGCTGCCCAGGGCTGTCATGTCAAACCACCCAGATCCTGGACTGGGTGCCCCATCAGCTCGCGGACCCGGGAGGCAGGGCTGGGACCCTCTGCAGCCCTGTCTGCCCCTGCCCATGGCCCACATCAGCTCTGTCAGTCGTGCGGAGCGGTGGGTTCTTTCCTGCCCCTCACCGGGTGGGCAGGGGCCAAGAGGCAGCTGTTAGGACCAGCGGGAGAGCCCTGTGTCCGCGGTGCGGCTGGAAGCTGCCTGCCAAGGTGGCATACCCGTTCCCGGGGAAGCACAGGGGCTGCCGGGCAAGGGAAGGGCAGGGGTTCTCGCAGGGAACGGGGTAGGGTGGGGAGGGGCCCTCCAGGGTTGCTGGGTTCGTCTGCTCTGCTTGTGCGGTGCCCAAAGACACCCAATCAAGGAGGCCAGCGCGGGCTAAACACCAGCCTGTGCCCCCGGCCAGGAGAGCACCTGTTTCTGTCTCTGGGGCGGGGGGGGGGGGTGCCAAAGGGGGAGCTAGGTCTCTCTGTGAGGCTCATCTTGCCACCACCTGCACAGGGAGGAGGGTGCCAGAGAGGCCCCTACCCCGGCGTGTCTCTGCCCAGAACTGTGGCCAAACACCCCTGAAGCGGGCATCCAGCACACATCTGTCGCAGCTGGAGGGGGAGGCGGTCTATTCAGAGAGGTTGGAACAAACAGAAATGAATTTCCAGATTGCTCCATTCTTCTCCCAAACCCCTAGTTACCGCTTCTTGGTGGTGGTGGGGGGGCGCGCGGCACTGGGCATCTGGAAACTCATTTGCACGCCAAGCACGAGGCCTGCTGGATCTCGGCGACGGAGGGACTGCTCGGCTGCCAGCACAAAGGACGGCCACAGATGGTGCCGCCCGCTGCCCGCGGCCGCCCCTCCCAGCCCACACTCCCCCCGGGGGCCACCTCGCCAGGCGGGAGCTTTCCTCCAATGTCACGGGCCGCTCCCCGGCCTGGTCAAGGACAGCCCGCGCCAGCCTATTGCCAGTGGAGTGGTTTCCCATAAAGGGAATGAAAGGAAGCTGGTGGCCTCGCAGGGCCTGGCTACGAAGAGTCTGGGACGCCGGGAGCAGATGTGACGTGTGTATTGGCCCGTCACGACTACCACAGATGCCAGGACAACCCCGGAGGAGGAGGGCAGGGAGCAAGGAAGGCACCCCTCCCCTCCGCTCAGCCGGCTAGCACAGACGCACGGGGGCCATGGCATGGACATAGTGCGTGCTCCCTCGTGCTGCAGACCCCCACACAAGCTGTTCTGACGCAGGTGGGAGTGTGCGGCCAAGGAGGGAGTCTGGGCACTGTCCGAGAGCCAGGAAGCCTGACAGACAGAGGTGGGTCGGGGGTCACACAAGGACAGACAGACGGGCCAGCAGGGTGGGTGTCTGGGTGCGCGCTGCATCGTGCCTGCATCTGGGCTGAGCGGAGCACGCGTGCTCTGATGGGGCCGGCCCTGCCTGCGGGTCCGTTGGGTCCTGTGGGTCTGTACTCTGGGCCCTCTCTGCGGTGGGGAAGGAAAAGGGGCCACTGAGCACAGGCTCTGGGGCTCGGGAGGGATGCCAGGCATGAAGAGTCCCTGGATGGGGTGGGAGGGATGGGAAGGCACGGTGCAGCATGCACGAGGATGCCCGCGCTGGGCGGAGTTTCAGGAAGAGATACCAGCCATCTTAAGGGGCTAAGGCAGGGGCAGGAGTGGCCCTCCTGCTGCTTGGACAGCCACCATGGCCAGCCCTGCATCTGGTCCTGGGAGTACCACTAACCCTGACAGTCTGGGTCCCAGCACTGAGAGCTACATGACCTTGGGCGAATTACACAGGCTCTCTGGGCCTCAGTTTCTGTATCTGTTAAACAGGCAATTAATAACGCTAACGCTCCTTAGAACGGTTGTGACACTGGAATGACACTAACACCTACACGGTGCTGAGAACAGTATCTGGTGTAATAAGCGTGGAGGGTGGGAAAGCACTGTGTGCACTCTCTGGACAGCAGGTGAGGGTCTGCGAATGCTCCCTGTTCCCACCAGCAGGAAAGCACCTTGTGAACAGCAGGAAGCCAGCCCGGCCCCCTCCAGGAGGTGTCAGGGCAGCCCCAATAGGCATCAGTGCCTATGCCACCCCAGGAGAGGGCAGGGGAGGGGACAATGGTAGGCAGGCCACGGGGAGTGGGGGCTACGTGTCCTGGCTCTGTAGTCCCACAGGTGAAGGGGCTTGGATCCTGTCCTGCCACTCTCTGGCTGGGGGATTTCACACAGGCTTGGAGACCCAGTTTCCCCATCTGTGAAATGGGCTTAACAGGAGCTGCCTGCCTCGGGGAGTGGACGTGAGCTATAAATTAGCATTGTCAGTCAACTGCAAGGGTATCCAAGCAGAAGCCAGAAAGGGAGGGAGGGAGAGTGGGCACAGGAATGAAGGAACCCTGTAACCCACAGTAGCCCCAGAAAAGCAGCCTGTCAATCCCACGCCCTTCACATAGGCCTGGGAGAGCTGATGAGGCACTGGTTTTGGAACCAATCCATGAGACCTGATCTCAGCTCAGTCTCCACCACCGTGTGGCACCTTGAGCAAATTGCCTACCCTTCCTGTGCCTTGGTTTTCTCATCTCTAAGATGGGGTGGTGGTAATTCTACTCCCCACCTGGTAGGGTAGTTGTAAGGATGAGCTGAGTTACCATCACATAGTGCGGGGACTGCACTACTTGGGGCTATTCACGTGTTTGCTACAGTGACGATTAGTATTACTGACCTTGGTCAGTAGAGAAGTGACCACCAGAATGGAGCTTTGGTGTCTCTGGCCACTTGGGACCGTACAACAGACAAACGACCTGGGGAGATGTGCAGCTCTAGAAGTCCCCGGGGCCGGGCTGGGTGCACGGCATCGTTAAGTCCCAAGCCCCAGAGCAGATGACTAGGCCTGTCTGCCCACTTGGCTGTGGGCTCTGCCGAGTGGCCCCTTCCTCCTGCCCCCTTCCCAAGCCACTGAAGTGGGTACTGATGGGAAAAGTGAGGACAATATTATGTGCCCTGCTTTGCCTGAGACACAGAAGGCAAAAATCAATTCCCCCTTTAGAGGCAGTTCTGCCTTCACTTCAGCCAGTGGAAAGGTACCTTTAGCCCTGGAAGACAGGTATTCTGGCTTCCCTAGGATCCACCATGGGACTCCTGGCCCAACAGCAGCCATCTTCAACGAGGGGTTCCTTGGATCTGAACACCCTTAGGCTGCAGCACCTCACCTGGCTCTGTCTTGGGCCATGGTCTTTAGCAGCCAAGTTCCAGATGGCCACATCACAGGGGAAGCAGCAGCCCTGAGGGTCAGTGGATCCCGGCTGGGAGAAGACATGACGGTTGACCACTGCCTGCACTTGTCTCTGCAGCTTACCCAGGAAGCCACAGGGACATCAGGATTCCCACTGCAGACCCGCCTCGGACTTCAGCAACTAGGGTCATTTGCCAACAGCACGTGTCTTACAGTCGATGCCACGTCGTGGTGTGATTCGTGGCATGACTTCCTTCCTAGTGGTACATTAAACGGTGTGTATGACCATGGGGGGTGTCCTCTATGAATGAGATACAGTAGACGTGTCTAGGGACCACGGCGCCAGAAGATGCCATGGCTAAGGTGGCACGAACTCTCGCGGAAGAGAAATGGAAATGAGCTCCAGGTCCGAGCATCAGGAGGGCACAGGATTCAGGTCTGAAGGAGGGCAGGGAGGGAGAGTTGCAGACATTTGCTCCCCAAGATCTTCCTGGCCACTCCCCCTGCAGACAACAGCCACCACAGTATGCTCGAGGGACAAGCAAAAGGAACCAGATGTCAAAGTGAGGGCAGGTCTGGAGTGGCGTTCTAGAGCGTCTCAGTCCTGGCTTGTCCCTGATGTGTCCTCCCTGGGGAGAGTGACAGGCCCTGCACTTGTCTCTGTACCCGCAGCTCCTGGCAGAGGGGACACCCAGGATGGGCTGACTAGATGGACCAGTGGGACGGGCTGGTCTTACCAGGGGAGTGGCGGGGGTGGGGAGAAGAGGTTGCACGGCAAGATTTGGAATCACCCAGTTCCAGGTAGGGAGGGTAGAGCTGTACTCTCCAGGCAGGGCTAGCCGCCAGCAGACAATGGGCCGGTGGGGGTGGAGGAGAGGCGGAGAGGCAGAGAGGCTGGGGGTCTGGGAGTTGGAGCATCAAAGGGGTAAGCAAGCTCACCCGGGCACAAGAGAAAGGCTGCCCCTTGCCAGGCTGGACTCCAGCTTGAAAAGGAGCCAGGAACCAGAGGCAGCCAAGTGGCCACAGGAAACAAGGCGTTCCTTCTTTATGGGGGTGAGCCGGGGATGTTCAGACAGCGAGAAGCCTGGTCTGCTCATTCTGGGGAAGGTCTGGGGATAGGGAAGGGATGGGAGCGGCCTGGGGGGCATAAGGGGGAGGGCACAGAGACCTGGATGTGAGGGCCCCGCTGGAGAATTATCAAATGCACTGCAGCCTGGGGAAGCTACATGCGAAATGAAACAAAGGCGTATTAAGTATCAAAGAGCATCTTAGCGGCTAAAAGGCTGCTGGAGAACAGAGGAACTCTGTGAGTGTGTGTGTGTGTGTGTGTGTGTGAGTGAGAGAGAGGGAGAGAGAGAGAGAGAGAGAGAGGGAGGAAGAAAGGGAAGGAGGGAGAAAGGAGGGGCTTCTGAGACCCGGGGATGGGGCAGGACTCAGGTGTGCCCTGAGGAAGGGGGTGAGGAAAGAGCCTTGCAGGCTGAGGCACAAAGAACCCTTGGGAGAATGACGGTGGAGTCCACCGCTCAGTGAGAAGTATGAAGGACCCATTTTCACACGTTTCCGTGCTCTCGGCTCTCTAAATGCACGCAGGACCCTCGAAGTGGCAGGAGCCCACCCCACTTCCCCTGGGGGGCCTTGCCTGGCGAGTCAGGAGGAAGTACCGGCCTCCACGCGGGTCTCCTCCTGACCCCCAGCCCATGTCTGAGCTCCTCTTGTCCCCTTATGCCCCCCGATGCCCCAGGAGCACCTCAAGCCACCTCAGGAGGACGCCCCCCTCCCCGCCCCACGTGGGGGCCACTGCAGCCTGATCATCTCTGCAGCATGTCCCCTTTGATTCCTGCCTGTTCCAATCACCTTCTGCAGCCTTGTCCCTTCTCCTCTGAATTATGACAAGCCCGGCCCCTCATTTATCTCTGTCTCCAAAACTGCCTCCCGCCAACCCACACTCTGCAAGGTGGCCAGAGGAATTTTTCCACAAATGTATTCTGATCACCTCTTTTCCAATCTGTGTTTCCGGAGGCCGCACACGGCCTGGTAGATGGTAGGTGCTCAATGGATGTAGAAACGAGTGAGAGAGCCGGGCTACCCCAGGGGAAAGGTGCGCCGTTGTCCCACGAGAGCATGAGCCCCATGGGCCACAGATGGGATCGGAGGGGTTCGCTTCTGCAACCCCAGCACCCAGCACGGCCCTTGGCACAGGCGACGCACCAACCCGACCGATGGACTGAAACGAATCACAGCTGGAGAACCTAATACACGGAAGATGGGAGGGCTGGACAGACAGCGCTCGCTGCATCCAAGAGCCAGACAATCAGGGTAAATCTGCGACAGGCTCCCTGTGGCTTTTAAACTTGCCGGCAGCCCCCCCATTCCTCGGGGGCAGAGGCCTGGCCTCAGCAGCCATCAGCCCAGCATGGAATCCTATCATGATGTGTCCAGAGGTGGGCGCTGTCATCCAAAACCATCTGTCTGAGTAACTGACACCTGTTTTGTGACATGCATACTCGCTGGTGGGCCGTGCCAAAACGGGGAAGGAAAGGTAAGCAGATTATAGGAACTACATCAGCTCCTATACTTTGGGAGGCTGGCTGCAGCCCTGGGTTTTCCGGGCTCATGGCGTGACACTGGCCTTCACGTTGATGGTGTCCACCCCACAGGGGCAGGCCAAGGGCTCCCTGGAGATGCTGTTGCTGTCTCCAGACCCAGGCCACGCCCTCCCAGTCTCTGACCTTCCTCTTTCATCTCCCAACCGTGGGCCCCTGGGACCGCTGCCTGGGGAAGAGACACTCTCCAGAGCCGTGCCGAGAAGAAGAGTAGTGAGGGGCCGGGAGGGGACGGCGAAGGGGGAGGAGCCATGGAGGCTGACATGACTCGGGTGTGGACTGGTCTCTCCGTGTCATCTGTAAAGTGGGAAGACAATAAGAGGAACCTCTGTCCAGAGGCCCGAGATGAAAAAAGGACCCAAGCTTTAAATCACATGGAAGAAATGGCACGTCCTGTGCCAGAATCTCAGCTGGAAACGCAGAAGCGGTAAAATACTGACTACCTCCTGCCTCCAAAAGGCAGAGAGGCTGAGCACACACACTGGGGCCAGGCAGCTTGGGTTCAAATCCCAGCTCAGCCACTTGGTGGCTGTGTGACCTGGGGAAAGTTACTTAACCTCTCTGTGCTCTGGTTTTCCCTTTGGTAAAATGGGGAGAATAAACATTACATACCTCCTAAAGTGTCATGATTAAACCAGCTAATGCACATAACATGGTAGCACAATTTCTGGCATCCAGGAAGGACTATGTACAAATAAACTGTTCTGGTTTTCTTACCAAGCACATGCTCCTTTTAGAGTTAAGAGGCTTCTCGGTCTCCCCTTCTACATGCTGTTGCTCAAATAAAATACAATTCCTTTCACTCATCTCCAAGAGGATCACAAAAATGTGTCTACGCCTTCGGCCCAGCCCCGCATCACATTCTTCACGCTCGGTGCTCCCTGGGCAGGCAGCTTCGCTCCCCAGCTCTCAGCTGGGCCCACACCCTCCGTTTTCCCTGCCAGACTCTCTGAACCAGGCAGAGGGCAGGCCCCCACGTAGCTGAGCCCCAGAAGCTGCTCACTTCTGACCCAGCTCTTGCGCCACATAGGGCAGGTGGCCAGTCTGGGCAGACCCCTTCCTCAGGAATGCCTGGGAGTGGGGGTGGCCTCTGCAGCCCTCCTGTTCAACTAGGCCAATAGAGCGGCTGACAAAGAGCCTCTCCTCTGGCCCCAAACAAGGTTGTGGGTCAGCTGCGAGGCCTGGGCAGACCCTCGACCCCTCCTCAGTCCCCATCCCTCTGCGTGTCTAGCAGGAGGTGGGATGAGGGACAGAAGCCAAGGTCAGCATTCCTGCTCTGACCCATGACCCCTGAAACAGAGCTATCCACGGGATTGTTCCTCTGCCTGTCCTCCTCGGTGGGCCCACCTCTGCTGGGTCCCCTGGAAATGGAAAAAGGGGGCCCCTCCCTGTCAGTTCTCTTGGGTCATCTCCTCCCAGAAAACAGTACAGGATGCACATGACCACAAAGGGGCAGAGCCAGGGTCAGCGGCTGCTGGGTCTCAGGAGACTGGGTGTCGGCCCTAATGTGGCCATGGACCCAGTGGGTCAGCCGGGGGCCCCATGCGCATGCCTGTGAAATGGGGTGATTTCACCCTGGCAGGGACAGGGAGAGCCTGATGGGATCATGAGGGTGCAGAGACAGCCCTTGACTTTTCTCACCTGCCTGGTGCCCTCTGCCCTGCCGAGCCTCACAAACCCCCAGAGGGGCCTGGCCAAGGATGAGGATGGCTGTGTTTTACGAAGCAGAAATGGGAAGCCCAAGAGGAGGTGATTCAACCACACTCACACTACAGGACAGTGACCCCGCTGCTAGTTCAGCGTGGCTTCCTTCTCATCCCCCCGAGTCTGTGATGTCACAGATCTGAGAACAGGCACAGCCCTAGAGGCTGCTCTGTACCTCCTGCCCACCTCCCGCCCCATGATTCAGCACCATCCCAGCTTCTTGTCCCGGGTCTGCCACCAACTTCCTGTGTGACCTCAGGCAACTTCCTCCTGTCTCTGGGCCCTAAGTGAGCGGGGGTAGGTGTCGCGCTCTCTGGAGAATGCAGCTCCGTGAATCAACCCTGGTCTCATAATGGGGTCATGGCTCTCAGGGCTGAGGCCAGCCTCCGGCCTTCTCAATCCTGTAGGGGCTATGGGAGGGGCTGCCTGTCCTCATGTCTGGTCTGGACACGTCCATCCCCCCTCCCCGGGTGACAGATGGAAAGGGCTCCAGAGATCTCACCTTGCCCAGGTACCCCATTTAATAAAGCCAGGAGCCCAGAGTGGGGAGCGGATGAGCTGAGGTTTGAGGACCAGCACATGCAGGACCCGGGGCACAGGGGGGCCGGGGAGGGGGCTGCTGAGGGGCTAAGACTTTCCACTGGTTCCAGAAAACATTGTTCCTGGGGGGTTGTAGGCTGGACTTCGGTGGCCCTGACAGCTGACCTGTGGACCGTGAAACGAGATGTTTTCCTTGGGGGGAAATCTTACTCTCCTGCCAAACAGCCGTACCACTGTACCGGCGGAAGCAGGAGCACATCGAGGGCAGTGTGCGAGATCATTCCACGCTGCTCCCTGCTCTGTCATCTCATCGCTGGGTGGCCAAGAAAGCCAAAACAAGGAGGAGTCATCTGCGGGCCCTCCGGCCGCCAGTGACCCCGCCCCTCTCCATGTGCGCCTGCGCACACGCCCGGGCCCCACGTGCAGGGAGGACCGAGCGGGCTGGGGGTACGGCTGGCCCCGGGTGTGCATGGAGCCTCACGGCCTGCC